TTATATGATAATTAGATTTGTGTGGAAGCAAAGGCATAATGAATGAATCATCAAAAACGGCCTAACCGAAGCTTACCAAAAAAAAAAAAAAAGATAATGCGAATCCTTAAGATAGGTTCGAAACTCGAAAGGAATCTTTTAGTTTGCCTAAACCCTCAAAATGACCAACTAACCAAACCAATTCGGCCGGTTCGGCAACTTTTGTTACCTTTCACTTCTCACTTTCCCCATAAGCAAAAATCATCGCAATCCACAAAATCATCCTTTAGAGCATGTTTACCACAATTCTCATTGTTTTACCTAACTTCACTACCTCCAATTTCATGCATTGTATACTTGGTTGGTTCCTGTCGACTTAGGATATTAGATTTTTGAAGTCCTCTATTCACAATCCTTTTATCTCATGGGAATGGGAACTCATCGCATTTTTAATATCACAACAATATTTGGATTTGTGGGTGGAAAAAATGATGAATTAGTAAAAATGTACATGAGATTTTCTACAACCTCAACTTTCTACTACTACTACATTCACTCAAATTCAAAATTTTCGAAATCTTTAATATAACCTATGCATCTTGGAGATTAAAAACAATGTTTTTTTTTCCACTAATCGAATAAAATCTCCCTCATGTGACCGACTAATCATTATTCCGTCGCACCATGATCCAATCCTCACCGTCCATATCCCATGTGGGACCCATCCAGCTTAGCACTCTAATCCTCTCGTCCTCGTGACATTCCCACCAGCTTGGATGCTCCTGGTCCTCCTCCTGTTCCACTGATCTCCAGAACATTTGATCCGTCACACTTGTCGGTGAGTTCGTTACCAAACCGGTTCCCAATTCCGGTTCGGTGTTCGGCTTTGTTATCAAGAACGGATGGTTTAGTAACTGAGTCGCTGTCCATCTCTCCTTGGCTTCTTTTCTCAAACACTTTCCCAAAAAATCCTTTGCTTGTTCCGTAAGCGAGGAAGGCAGCTCAGGTGACTCACCCAAATAACCGACCCGGTATAGAACCGAAACCGGGTCGGTCGAATCCGCTCCAATCCACGGTGGAGAACCGGTAACCATCTCGATCACCGTACAACCAACCGCCCAAATATCACTCTCTTTCCCTTGTCTCTCTCCACGCGCCACCTCCGGAGCCATAAACGCCGGAGTTCCTCTAACCAGTTCGGTTATTTCCGGTTTAACCACTTTCGCGCAGCCGAAATCGGCGATCTTGGCCTCTCCGTTCTCTCCGACGAGCACGTTGCTTCCTTTAATGTCGCAATGCACGATTCCTTTGGAATTATGAATATACTCTAATCCAAGAAGTATCTGGCGCGTGTAGCTCACGACACGTGCCTCGTCGAGTAAACCTCCGTTCTTGGCGGCGACGTCGGTCAACGTACCGTACGGTGCGTACTCCATGAGAAGATTGTAATAAGTAGTGGCTTCTCCGTTGTTAAAGGGCTCTTTCGTAGTTTCGCATCCTCTGTATCCGATAACGTAAGGAGAATTTAGTGAAGAGAGGATCTTGGCTTCTCTTTGCAAGAACTCCGACCGGTGAAACTCGGCTGATTTCACGGCGATTGTTTCGCCGGATTCGTGACACGTGGCGGCGTAAACGGTGGCTGATGAGCCACGACCAATGGTTTTTCCTCTAGTCCAATTCATTTGGAGAAGAAGAAATAAAAAAAAATGG